ACACACACACACACACACACACACACACACACGTTCTACCCTATCCTACGTGGCAGCTGTGGCTGCCATCTCCCTCCTAAGCTAACTCGCGGTTATGGCCGCGTCTTCCTCCTCTTAGCCCTCTTCTTCCTCGGGTGCCTGCAGACCTCTGTAGCACAAGACGCTCCGACAGGGCTTCCGCACGGCTCACAGGCAGAATCAATCAATGACTTGACGCTGCCCCTTTATTTATACTTCGGATCGTCGTTGGTCTGCCCTTGGAGTCCGGGCCCRGGRTGTACACAGTCCCACATGGTACTTGCTGACTAGACAAAGTGCACCCGGGACTGGGTACCGCTGACTGGACTAGGTAGGACTGGGACTGCCCTTTGCTGACTGTGCGAGGACTGCCCTTTGCCGACTCAGCCGCGGACTGAATCCTAAGACCTACGAAGAGCCAGTTCTATCGCTTCTAGAAGGTCGTGGACTTGACCTTGCGGAACTGTAGCGGATACGACCTATACTAACCCTATGGCTCCCTATCCCAAGGTCTACGGGTCAAAACCTCGCGACCGCACTATGTACAGTAGCCGAGCATACGACTTTTGGGGAACTGCCTGGCCGCGGGTTCAAACACAGAGGTCAACGGGTACTGTACACGGGTGAGGGGGAGGTCTAGGGATCGAGCCCTGGGTTCTGCATCTGTTACCGCTGTAGGTGAAAACCGTGTCAGCTAAATACATGGCAGTCAGATCATAAGACGAGATCGTGAAAAGCACGCTACAAGTAGAGAGTAGAATTGATAAACACCATAAGATTCAACAGCATTCAAAAAAAAGTTTCTTGAAGTAGAGAGTAGAATTGATTAACACCATAAGATTCAACAGCATTCAAAAAAAGGTTTCTTGTTTGAAATGGTAATCGAAAGTTTGAAACACGTCAAAATGGGTGGGTCTGCATGTGCCCGGGGGTGTCTGTGGGTGTTTTAACTGCTACCAGTCGCACCCGAGCCCACACGCCCTTGAGCCTTGCAGTGGGCCAACCAGGCATGGTACGGTCATACCAGGGCTAATGCGCCCGATCCCATCCGAACTCGGAAGCCAAGCGCCGTTGGGCCGGAATAGTACTGGGATGGGTGACCTCCTGGGAAGTCCTGGTGTTGTACCTAACACTTGTAATGACCCGCCAAAAACACAGACTGAGAACACTGCTGATTTCTGAGATTTGCTGCTGGAATGAATGCCTTGCTGAAATTCCCGCATTCTGCTGTGGTCTCCATGTCTGTGTGTGTGTGCGTGCTTGTCTGAGTGCTTGTCGGTTGAGTGTGTGTGTGACCCGCAAGGTTACTTGTTGGTTGAAAGGCCCCGCAGGGCCAGTACTTACCTGTGGCCGTGACTGTGAAGGGTTGCAAGGGGAAAAACACTCGAGTTGCGGGGGTAGGCCCGCAGCACAGAGGGGAAAAACACTCAAGTAGCAGGTAGCCCGGTACCACTGAAATAGTGGTAGAAGTGTTGGAGACTGGAGGCCGAGCAGAAGAAGACAAAAAGGTG